TCCTAATAATTTTCTGAAACTTCCTTTTATTATGTTCTCCCTTATTAAATGTGCATTGATGAGTGTATATTAACATTCCCATAGTCCCAATACCAACTTTGACTAGTATTATCTAATGTTAGCATACTTTCTATTCACTCCTTATAAAAGGTTCTTCTGACCAAACATAGTAGATACTAATTTCCAGTTACTTTCAGCAACAGTTATGCTTTCCCATCTATCATTTATTGTTTATTCTAAGTCCTTCTTTGGATAAATTATCTGGCCCTAGGCAAGGTTTTCAAAGTACCATATAGCAAGTGCATTTTGCATCAGTGATGCTGGGACCCTTTGAAGGTATTGGTTTATTAGATTTAGAATTCTTTTTTTTTTCTTAAGATTTTATTTATTTATTTGAGAGAGAGAGAGAGAGATTGCAACAGAGATCATGAGCAAGTGGGGAGGAGAGGGAGAAGCAGGCTCCCCGCTGAGCAGGGAGCCTGACGCAGGGCTCAATCCCAGGACCCTGGGATTATGACCTGAGCCAAAGGCAGCCACTAACCGACGGAGCCACCCAGACACCCCATACTTTGGAATTCTGATGCTTCACCACGCTGCTGTGATGCTCAATGAGTCTTTGTTAAATTGAAATGAGAAGGTTTTGCTTTCAGAAAGTTTTGGGCAATTTAAAAATAAGTCAATGCAGACCACAGTATAGTTGATTATAAAGTTGGCTTCCAGTTGTTGAATATCTGCGATATGCCAGGCACTTCCAAGATAAGCCATTTGGAAGTAAAACTAGAACTAGAAAGAAAGCATTTCTCCGAAGCACAGTCAGCAGACCTACTGGATAAATCCTACATGATATTTCCAATGACAAGTTTTATCATTCCATCAATTTGCTTTTAATAGGTTGCCATGAAAGAGGGGATATAAATTAATTCCATAGCATACATTTAGTGATGGTCAGCTTGTTTTTTCCATAATTATGAAGAAATTAAGCTACCATATAAGGGTAGTCACTTTGTAATAATAAAAATAAGTATCTCCCCCAAATTTGGCCAGAAATCTGAACTGTCTTATTTAGGTTAGGCCTCAAATTGAGTTACTGGGTAGGGTTTCTAAACCACAGCCTGGGTATCATGTTCTGCTTCTCTCCTTTTCCCCCTCGGACGCTAAAACATTCTCTTCTCACATCTGACTAGGACCCAGGTAGAGTAAGGGAGTTATTTGGAAATCTCACAACTATGTATTTGAAGAACCAGCAGATGAAAGCATACCTCTGTATCTAGTCAGTAAAGCTGATGGATTCGGGGCAGGACTGCATCTCATTTCACTTTGGTGTCCTCACAGTTTCTAAGACTTAGCAACTCCTAAATACATATCCATGGGGATTAATAACATGTTTCTTTTGTTCACACTTAGAATGATTATGTTTTTTAGAACAACAATCATAAAAAATTGGGAACATAGTCTGAGATTTAATAATAGCTATTGCCTATTGAATGCCTATTGGGTTTAGAGATTCAGGTGCATGGTTTTTGAGCCTTATGATAGCCCTGTCATGCTGGAGATATTGTACCGATTTAACAGATGAGGCTGCTGGATTTTGGTCCTAAAAATAGAGAAGCAGTTTCCCAGCCATCCAGTTAGACTGCCCAACCTTCTATGCATCAGTCCTGAAGATGTAGTCAGTCACTTCAGAATCAAAGAGGAAAAGGCAAGCATCAGTATTTGTGTTCAGGAGCTGCTGCCTTCTAGTTCTTGGATGCTCAGAGGGGAGCCTCCTACACTGGTCTCTGTGCACAAAGCCTAAAAGTGGTAACTCTCTCTAGAAATATCTTCTGAGATTTTCTCCCAGAGGAAAAGAAGAAAAGGTGGAGGGAGGGGCTATTGTCCAAGTAAAAACATTTCAAGAGAGACAATGAAGCAAGTTCATTTGCATTGGATAATTAGAAAAAAAAAAATTTCTAACTGTTCTCCTGTGCCCTTGTTCTCACTCACTATACTTCCCAATTGCTTTCTAATGTTGAAATCAGAAATTGTTTGTTTAGTATATGGCTAAAAATGAAGGACTTAGAAGAATGGCAGTAAATCTGAGCCCTTAAATGTAGCCCTTAGAAAGCAGATGAAAGCGTGTGGGCTACTCAGAGAATGAGAGAGAGAAGAGTGTGCACAGGTACTTACTAATGAAGGGAAGAGTGGATTTCTATAGCTGTTCCGAGAAGCCTGTGGAAAGCTTCTAATCCTGCTGCTGAGACCATATGTGTGCATGTGTACATACATTAAAATACTTATTTTTTCATAAACTCCCTTTGTGAAATATTCCTTGAGAGAAAACAACAATGTTTAAATATATTTGCTTGAAAAAATTGCTTCCAGTTTTTGCTGTTGAGTTTGAAACGTTTTAGAGCAGGGTTTTTGTCTGAGTTGGTTTTTTTGGTGGTTTTTGTTTTTTGTTTTTTTCATAAAGGGTAAGATTCAAGTATGTTATTTCAACTGAGTACAAAAGCTTTCTTTTCTTCTTCTTTTAGCTAAAAATGTTCACAACATTCACTCCTTAAAGTAATGTTTTCCAGTATTCTTTTTTCCTAAAGGAGTCAAAGTCAATAATAGTTGCAGTTTTAAACTTAATACTTGAAGTATGAGAATAATTATTCTCATACTTCAGTAACTTCAGTTTTTGCTATGTCTTGGAGTGGAGTTGTTGATGGAAAGTCACTAAATAATGAAACAACTTTTCCAGAGGTCACATAAAAGCTGGCTTATGGTTCTTTTCTTCATTTCCTTTGTCTTATCTCACCAAAAGGTCTGATGATAATCAATTTCCAGCTTTGAAATATAATTGCATTGAATTTGGTTCAGTGCATCGTACTGACCTTATAGATCGTTTCATTGCATTAACCTGCTGTTTTTGTGTCTGTCATAGCAATATTTGTCCTTATGGGATTTGATCTGTTGATCTTTATTTGAAAGGGTTGCCATCCAGCTGAAACTGTTAAATAATGAGTTGAGTTTCTCTCTTCATTTTTTAACTCAACACATTGCTGTCATCCTCTCAAATGTTGCAGTAAGAGGTCTCCAAAGTTACTTTTGTCCTTTGCAGCGATACATCAACTTGACATCTATTTTATGGTTTAAATCAGAGCCTTTGGCATAATTTTTGTGATTTTCTTTCAATCTGAATCATGGCTACTTAAGTCGTGTTGGCTGTGTTCAGGTGGTATCCTCTGCTAATTCCACCCACATACAACTTAGGTTTTAATGGATGGTTAGAGAACATAAGAGGTACTCAGTCAGGGTCATGCTATATCAATATTCTCCTTAGAGAATTGTCTTCCCCTTGTGTTACTATTCTTTAAGTAGATCATATCATAGAAATATAAACATAGAAGAACCTGTTATGCATCTAGAAAACATGTAAGTATGTTTAAAAATCCAATTAAGACACAAATTGCCCATCTTTCTTGAACCACTCTTGTTTGTTTTTTATAAAATAGGTGTTTGTGTGGTTTCACCATTGAAATAAAGGCATGAGAGTCAAACCGTGTAAATTCAACCTCCACTTTACTGTATAACTGTACATTAAAGTGGTTTTCTCCTTTTTGTTGTCTAGGAAATTGGATAGAGAATAAAACCTCTGCCTTTTCAGAAGGCCCATGATCCAGATAGAAAGAGCCTGAGTCCTTTGAAGAGCAGGTGCTACATCTGTGAAAGAGAAAATCACAATATTATTCACAGAATGCTACTAATATTTATATTCAACATAAAAGCAAATAATTATCTAGCAATTCTATTCACTGGACCAAAAAATTCTAGTGTCTATGATAATAATGCCTCATTGCTTTTGTTTAAATCCAGAGATTATGACTTTCGAATCTTCCTTTTTCAACTACACGGTGTGATTCCTAATATAAAATGGTACTAGATTTCTTTACCTAGAGAAATGCATTTCAGTTAAGAATTATTCCCATCTTTTCTTTTAATCTGAGATAGAAAGGGTAAATATATTCTTATCTATGACCTTACTAGAAAATATAGTGTTGTGTTTGTCATTTTTTATTATGCTTTTTAATACCCACAGTACCTAGGAAATTTGAAATGTATTCCAGACTTGGAATTATTTTTCTGTTGCATGTTAAACTAATTGACTTGAATACTTTTTATGTGCTTTTGTTCAACTCCACATAGAAATTGTAGATTATTCATCTGAAATGAATGAATTTTAAATTATTTTAACTTTGCACTAGTGTATGACCTTCTGAGACCGGTTTTAAAGAACATACAGCTCTTTTTCCACTACACATTACAGATTTAATTTGTTTTGGATGCAAATACCATTTATCTTGTACTTTTTACAATGCCATGTTGTTTATTATACTTTGATAGATTCACAAATTATGTCTAGTTTTTTTTAAACAAGTGTATTTGGAAATTGTGATAGTTCAAGATGAACTAGTTTATGCCTTTTAAACCTTGATGGGTGAACACTAACTGTCTCACCACATCATTTAAATGGCTGAGCATAATCCTCCTGATGCGATTCATGACATATATCCCAGAACAAACTTGTGTTTTCTTTTTTTATTTATTTTTATTATGTTAATCACCATACATTGCATCATTAGTTTTTGATGTAGTGTTCCATGATTCACTGTTTGCGTATAACACCCAGTGCTCCATGCAGAACGTGCCTTCTTTAAAATTTGCGTTTTCTTTTCAAGTACTCTAAAGTTTCAAATACCTCTTTCTTTATTTTACTCAGCAACAATCTGCAATTTATTTTTCTCCAGGAAAATTGAATCTGTTACTGCTTAGTATTCCTACCAGTTTGAAAAATGTGGTTTATATTGGCATTAGAGCAGTAATTTACATATATGGGATAACAAGAATACATGCCAGAAAAAGATCAACATAAAATGAAACGCAAAAAAGCTGTTTTCATTCAACAGCAACTCTGAGTGAGGCTAATAGAGAAATTGATGAGCATCTGCCCTGAATGTGTCACTTGTTTCTTCTAGGTGAAGTGTGACCAGTACTGGCCCAGTAGAGGCACAGAAACCCACGGGCTGGTGCAAGTGACGCTGCTCGATACGGTGGAACTGGCCACGTACTGTGTGCGGACATTTGCACTTTACAAGGTTTGCCTTTTATTTTTTCCCCCTTCCTTTCCCCTTTCCATTATTTAAAGAAAGCGTCTTTTGAGAAATCAAGTATCTTAAGACTTTGCTTAAATCTTGATTCCACTGGCAACGGTGAAGAATGAAATAATTCTCCCATTATCACTCAGCAATTTTTCTCCTTGTCCAGCAATTTATAAGTAAATATGGAACTCTCACTCTGAACGGAAGTTTCCACAAATGAAGAATAGATGAAGAAGAGCTAGTTCTTTCCGCAAAATACAACAGGTGCACTCCTGATAGTTACACCTAAAAAATATAATGCTTCTCACCTAAGAATGTTTATCTTCCTGAGCAGATAGTTGTCATTTACAAATAGCTTGGTGTTGATAGCTCCAAAGAGTGCATCTTCCCAAAGGTCTTAGGGTAGGGGAAGGAATTAAGATAGCATATTTCCATGTTACCTCTTCCATGTTACTACTCATCACTACAATCTGAGGCTAAGAACACAGAATCTTACCCAGTCTTCCTGCTTCACAGAATGGGTCAAGCGAGAAGAGAGAAGTAAGACAATTCCAGTTCACAGCCTGGCCTGATCACGGCGTTCCAGAGCACCCTACACCTTTTCTAGCTTTCTTACGGAGAGTCAAAACCTGTAACCCTCCTGATGCAGGTCCCATGGTTGTGCACTGCAGGTAAGAATCACTGAGAGCATTTGTTTTTCTCATAGTCAGAATGTCCAAGAGGAAACAGAAAGCTAAATTGTTCCTCATTGGATATTCTCCTTCCAACTTCTTGATTCTCTGGGATAATAGATCTCTTTATAAATAATACAGGTGGTTTTTAGTCAAATGAGGACTGTACTAACATTCATAGAAAGGATTTGATATAGATGAATATGCTTCTCTAGAGGCGATAAGCAACTATGGTTCATGCTATTTTCTCTTTGGAGCAAAAATAAATAAATATATAAACACAAAATTAAGTGTGCACATGGCAATAAATAGATGAAACAGAAAAGAGTTAAGAATCAATCTTGTGATTTGGTTCAAGTTTCATCTGTGTGAGGAATATTCTTTAGAAATAGAGATAGATGGATAGATAGATAGATAATAGATAGATGGATAGATAGATGAATTGCTTGACAAGTTCTCGTGGCTTGGGCTGATACAACCTTTTTACTATATATAGGAAAGAAAATTGCCAAACATTGGTTAAACGACTGCCTTCAGCTCAGGTCATGATCCTGGAGTCCAGGATCAAGTCCCACGTTGGGTTCCCTGCTTAGCAGGGAGTCTGCTTCTCCCTCTGACACTCCCCCCTCCTGTGCTCTCTCTCTCTCTCTCTCTCTCTCTC